CCGGTCCGTATAGATTTCTTTAAATAATATTTTATTCATATTTTTTGTTATTCAATGTTTATTTTTTTCAAAAATAATATTCGGACCGTTTTCGGTGTGAATATTTTTGGCGCTTTGATACTGTGGATTCCCACCAAAAATATACGGACCGATACCGGTCCGAATATGTTCAGTAGTATACTTTGGACCACCTAAATATGTTCGGACCGATATTGGTTCAGATATTTATTTATTCAGACCGACACTATTCGGTCCGTATATGCTCGGTCCGTATACGTCATTTTTCTAGTAGTGCACTGTCACAGAGTTGCCAGCAGTGCCTAAAACTACCAAAAATTTGACAGCTCACCCCAACCTTTTGACACACCTCTAAGCCACCAACCAGAAATTACAATAATACCACTGCATATATATATAAATTATTTGCTCTGCATTTTCAAAAGAAGAAAGAGACACATGCAGTACAACAATAGACTTACACACCAAAACTCTCATTTCTCCTCTAAAGAAAAAATAGATTCCATCTGCAACCCACTGTTCTGCACACAAAAATCACCCGTAAACCACCATTTTTCTTAGGTTTCTAGTCTTCAGTTCTGCAAAGTATTTTTTTAGCTCTGCAGAATATTTTCTAGCTTTGAAAAGTATTTTCCAACACTATAGAACATTCTCTAACTCTATCGAACATTTTCCTGCATTCGAGAATATTTTCCAACATTGCAGAATATCACCCAGCATTGCAAAATATTTCTAGATTTGCAAGATATTATGGTTGGGGAATAACATGCTTGTAATATCCCAAATTTTCGGGAATGTTATCATTTAAGTTAGGGACTTATCTCGAGAAAAATATTGTTTGAGGCCTAATAGTGAAAATTTTGAAACTTGAGGAACTTAAAAGAGAAAATTTTGGATAAGGACCAGCTGATATTTTTTTCTCCTTTTTCTCTTTCTTCCTTAGCCATTTACGTGTTGTGCTCTTCTTCTTCATCCCCGGCAGCTCCCGAAAAGAACCCCAAAGCTACCGACGTTCCCTCCCCTTGAGAAACTCGGCAAAAGCTTAAATTTTGCCCTTCTTTTCTTGTTCTAGAACACATATAGAATCCAGAAATCTTCCCCCCTCTACAGAATTTCCAGATCTGCTCTGCTTTGTTCCTTTCGTCTGTTGCTCTTGCTTTGTGGGTGTGATTTCTCTAATTTTTGGGTAAGAAACAGCCACTAATTCCTCTGTTCTTGGCTCTGTTCTTGGGTAGATCTTGAATTTCTCCTTGCACTTCTCGACAGCCCTCCCCAATCTGCAGCTCTGGTTTGTTTGCTGGAAATTCCTGGTATGTGATAGCTCCATTTAAGTCCAAATTATCCATTTAAATTGCTGCCTATGCTTTCCGAAATTCTGCAGTAATTAGGGGATAATTCCGGTAGCTTTAGGACAAAATTTAAGCATTAATTCAAGTAGAATTTATGTGATTGAATGTTAATTAGCTACTGCAAGATTTTGGAGAAAAATCCCGTGAAATTAGCTATTGTTTTGCCCAAATTTCTGGAAGTTGCAGTCACTGTTCACGGGTATTGTTCACGCACTAATGGCCAACAATTAACGGGGATTAAATGTTTAGTTTGTAATATAAGAACAAATTTGGAGATGTCCAGTCATGTGGAGACCGATAGAAATAGCATCATGATTAGGGGTAGTCTTAATGATGATTTCACTTTGAATTTGTGGGAGTGCGGTATTAATTTTGAAATATTTTGGCTAGGTTCTTGATTATTCTATCACCCTAGCACTTGGAGTGAGTTTTCTGTGTTACGCGATTGAGGTAAGTAAATTATGGTAACGCCTTTCGATTTTAAAGCACATTTTAGCTTGTTTTTGAAGTGGTGGTGGGACTAAACCTGTTTTACTCAAGTATGATCGATTTGAAATGAAATTATTAATCTTTTTATTGATTTGAGCATACCTTCTTGGAGTTTACTTAACTGCCCTGATGATCTGAAAATTATTTGTGAATAATGATTTTCCTATTAACTTCTGCCTGTTTTGTCTTCGATATGGTCATGTTATTCGTGTGCCCACTAGTGGAAGGTTTATAAACGCTAGCACATGTCGACATGTTACTGATATAACCGATTCGTTTCTATTATACTATTATCCTACTAGTGGGATTATACACTAGTAAATTGTGTGCTTGCCAGTGGGAGGTTTATAACACTGGCCATGACCTATAGAGGAGACGTCTATTTCATTTTCGTACCTATATCTATTTTTCGTGATTATACTTGTTGGCATGTTATAAGTTTAATTAAGGGCTATCCATATTTACTTATTGAGTTATCTCATAGTTTTTCCTTGTCCACCATTTCAGGAAGCAAAGTGAAGGACGGGGAAAAATGAGGGGAGTGACGAGTTAGAAGGCTAGCCATCTTGTAAATTGAACATAGATTTTAGATATAAATCATGATCTTGTAAGCTAGACTTTATTTGGAGATTTATGAAATCATAGCAAATTTTATAATTTTATCTTCAGGTTTTGTAGTATCAGATTGTGGCATGATAAAGTTTCGAGCCTTGTGCATTTGTGGGACCCTATCACAAGTGTACGGCGTCTGCCACGTCCTTGGATTTGGGTTTTGGGGCATGACAATACTGCAGTTTCAACTTTCGGATAGTTCTTCTTGAGCATCAGACGGTCAAGGTCACAAGGTTAGCATCAAAACGGGATCAAGCGTTCCATTCGTAAGCTCCCAAGCGGTTACCCTTTCTTTTCCCATCACCACTCTCAAGTTTATTCCTTTTGTCTTTAGAAGAACCTTAAGATTGGAGTTGCTGTACTCTTCATTTTCAATATGAGGATTGTTCGTTATAGAGTAAAAGTCTACACTAGGGATGAAAAAGGTCACATTTATTGTTATTATTATCATGTTACAATGATTTATGTATGAGCGTGATTCTCAAGTTGTAATCTTTGAACCATATGTATTTCACATCTCTGCTGCCCTTCCTTAACAACGCACAACTTTTCTCCATCATGCTTTTGGTAGTTGTGTGATCACCTTGAACCCTCGGAATCCTACCATTGCTGCCCAGCTTTATCGACTTGGTAAAAAGTTCATCTTTTAAAAGCTTTTGCTGGAAAGTGCATTGCCAAATATCATCACCCAACAGAAGGGGATGACCTGTAACATGTAGCCTCTACACATGAGACGGGTGCCGCCAAAAGAACCCCCCTCATTCTCTCGGGTGTCAACCTAGTCAGCCTCCACATTGTCACCGTTGTTGACTCGTTCACCTACATCACCAACACCCCTGAACAACTATATTAAATAAAATTTAAACTTTTTTGTTTTTCCTTAATACAGAAAAGGTCTAGATAAAATTACTATCTTTGTAATTTTTTATTTAAAAATATAAATTTTATCTATTTTTAATTAAAAACATAAAATTTTAATTTTTTTATTTAAAAGTATTAATTTATTTTTTATTTAGAAATTAATTAAATATTAATACCTACATGGCAAACATAAAACTAATATTTTTAAATAAAAAATGCAAAGTGAGTATCTTTAATTTTTTAGAGGTTAAAATTTCAATTTGGTCTCTTTACTCTGATAAAAAAAAAAAGCCTCTTTTTAGTTTCTTTACTTAAAAAAGTTTTTTTTTAGTCTTTAAAGTTTAAAATTTGATTTTTTTTTTGTCCCTCCGTTAAGTTTTTATCTTGTAACATGTTATTTTAATGGAAATCTCAAAATAAAGGAGATTAAAAAGGACTTTTTTAAGTAAATAGATTAAAAAGAAATTTTTTATCAAAGTAAAAGGACAAAAAAATAACTTTTTATTAAAGTAGATGAACTAAAAATTGACTATTTTTAGTACTTTTTTAGTCCCTTTACTTTGAAATTTTATTATCTAACATGTCAAGTATGTAAAGTTTAATAGAAGAACAAAAAATGAGTCAAATTTTAAATTTTAAAGATTAAAAAGATTAAATAAAAGGTCTAAAAAAAATTTTTTAAAATAAAAAGATAAAAATAGAGATTTAATTTTCTTAAAAAAACAAACAGTGGCAATCATTGTCTGTGCCTTTTCTCTCTCCGAATACCAGACAGCGGCGTTACTGGTGCATTAGAGGCTTAGCGCTGGAATAAAATTCTCATTTTGATTAGGGTGGTATTATTGAGTTAATTTTTTTATTTTATTTTTTTATAATTTTTATACATTATTAAATAAATATATATTTATTATTATAAATTTTATATAAATTAAAAAAATAAATAATTTTAATGATACATCACTAGTCAAAAAAAAAAAAAAAATAGGACGAAATGATTTTTCAATAGCATTTTCCTTTTGATTGGGGTCATTTCCGTAATTCAAGGTGCATATCTCCGTTTCAATAAATGGTCTTAATTGTAGCCGGTTTGATCCACAGGATACCTCCTGCTGCTCTCTGGACTCTTCTACACTGTCTGAGTCTGATCATCCATGAAAATGGCGGCGAAGCTGATGCATGCTGTTCAATACGACGGCTATGGAGGAGGAGCTGCTGCTTTCAAGGTAATTTTCGGTTTTCGATTTTAGTTTAGGTGGTTCTGTGTGCTGAAAAATTGATGTCCTTTGTTTAGTACATGTATAATTTGCATGATCCAAGCAAATTTTGGTGACCTTTGATTTGATTAACATTCCGATTAGTTTATAATTTTATCTTTGATTTTCTTAATATGAAGGATTTTAGCCTTTTCTCTCTCTTTTTTTTTTCTTTGGTATCTTAGGTCAATATGCATCGTGTAGTTTTTGTTAGCTTTTTCTGTGTTTTAAGAAAAATCAAGATGAAAGAATCTTCTTAGAGGAGTTATAAAGAATTTCATAGTGGAGCTTAGAATTTTGTTAGGTCAATGTGCTCTGTGTGCTGAAAAATTGATGACCTTTGTTTAGTTTATTTATATAAATAAATAAAGAATTTCATGGTGGACCTTAGAATTCTCCTAATTCTATGATTTGACTTGATTTGTTATATGATAGTTCACATTTCATGAGACTTTAAAGGAGTGCCTTTTGAGACTCTAAGGTTTTATTATTATTATTATGATTATTATTTGCCATCTTGACACTCGAAGTGGAAGGTCCCAAGTTTAAACCTTGAGACAGTGGGAAGGGATTTGGGAGGGGGGGAGGGCTATATCCTGTTTTATATAGTATAGCTAATCAATGTTTTCTTTAGTCCCAGTATATGATGTAATCAGCACAAAATCATTATTTATTGAAAAGAGTAGGAAATGTTCCAAATTATATAATTTAATTGAAGTTTTCTTTTCCATATTATCATAACGGTGATCCCCAAAAAAATCAAAATATTTGTAGGAGGCACTGGCAAACTGATACTTATAGGAAGAAAAATCAATGACCAAGTTAAGGATTGGTTTGTAGGATCAGTCTTGATGGAGATTAATTGGCTAATTCTTATTGTAAATTCATTTCTCACATTTTTGTTTTCTTGCTTCTTCTGAATAAGCCATTTCTTTGATGTTGCAGCATGTGGAAGTTACAGTTCCTACTCCAAAACAGAATGAGGTTTTGCTAAAAGTGGAAGCAACTTCTCTAAATCCAATTGACTGGAAAATACAGAAAGGAATGTTGCGACCACTTTTACCATGCAAATTCCCCTATATACCTGGTAGTTCCACTTGCACTTCTTGAACTTTGAATTCAGTTTCTTCATATCATGTTAAGTTCCATGGAAGTTATGTTTTTTTAGCTACATATTTTTATCATCAAATGCTCAAACATGGCAATTTAGTTTGCATCAGAGCATGCCTTGTGCTTTATTTTCTATTTTCTCAAAGGATTATACATGTTATTTTGATCTAGTTTTTGTAACTTATCATGTGCAAGTTGACATAGCTAGATTACACTTTTTTTTTCTCACATTCTTACATCAATGGCATATGAGAAGAGTTGAATGATTAGCCATGTGACCTGGCTTAACCTTCCGTAATCTCTGTCTCTGGTGCTGTCTGGCAACAGCTTTGGCAAATATTATATTTGGGTACATACTTGTACCATAGAATGGCATGTTTGATTGCATATCCTTGATGTTGTTCTGTCTTGCATTTGGACAATTTATCTGTTTCTGGCAAAACTGAAATTGTTACTCAGGATGCCTCTTGTAAGTCAATAGATCTGTTAGCTCAGCTACTAGTGGCAATATTGTGGTAGGTTGGCATCTTTATTGTCACAGCATTAGTATTCATGTTCCATCAGGGTTTCT